GCGCGAGGGAGTCACGACCCAGGCAAAGCTTTATCCCTGGCTCCGGAATCTAGTCCCGTCAAAACCACCATCTAATCGGTGTGCGGAGCGGGCGGCAGCTTGCTCCTTTGAGACGAGGCAGCGGCTGATCTACCGGCCGAAGCGCGTCGGCGGCGGGCGGCGGCGGCGCGGCGGCGCGAGCACGCAGCTAGCGGAGGCGCTGCCGCCAGCCGCGGGCCCGGTCGAGGAAGTGTCTAGGAAGTGTCTAGGAAGTGTCTAGGAAGTGTCTAGGCGCTGCCGCCAGCCGCGGGCCCGGTCGAGGCGGAGGCAGTGTGGCTGGCGGTGCAGCAGGCGATTAAGGCACGGCAGATGGCCGCTCACGCCGCCTCCGCCGCCTCCGCCGCTTCCGCCGCCCCCGCCGCCTCCGCCGCCGCCTCCGCCGCCGCCGCCGCCGCCGCATCCGCCTCTGCGCCGCCGGCAGCCAACGCTCGCATCTCCTCCAGCGGCGGCTCCGCCCCCGGCCCGCGAGATTCCAATCTCGGCCCGCGAGATGCGGTCGAGATACGGCCGAGCGGCGCAGCGGATTGACCGACCATTCCATTTAGTGATCAACGAATGAATGACAGGTCCGGCCGGGCGAGCGGTACAGCAGGTGCAACCGCGCCGCGTGCGCGCAGCGGGGGCGGTGCAACGCCTCCTGCTGGCGGCTGCCGCAGCGGCCGCGGCAGCAGCAGCAACAGCAGCCAGGCCAGACGTGGAGCGCGCGGTGCGCGGCCGTCCCCGCCGCAGGTTGGTTACTTAATTAGTACATCGATTAGACGGTTGTTTCATTCATTAGGTGCGCGGCCGTTTCCGCCGCGGAGTTGTCGGAGAGGAGCGGCTTGTTTGCCGTGCGGCCGCACGAGGCTGCGCTGGCGAGAGAGCGGCGCCCGGGCAGCGTCTTCGGTACGAGTCAGTGGGTGAGGAGCTCGTTGATTGATCGTGCAGGCGAGCGAGCAGCTCGAGCTTGTTTAATGATTGACAACTCATTAACAACTAATGCTTGAGTGCAGGCGAGCGAGCAGCTCGAGCTTGTTTAATGATTGACAACGCATTAACAACTCATGCTTGAGTGCAGGCGAGCGAGCAGCTCGAGCTTGTTTAATGATTGACAACTCATTAACAACTAATGCTTGAGTGCAGGCGAGCGAGCAGCTCGAGCTTGTTTAATGATTGACAACTCATTAACAACTAATGCTTGAGTGCAGGCGAGCGAGCAGCTCGAGCTTGTTTAATGATTGACAACTCATTAACAACTAATGCTTGAGTGCAGGCGAGCGAGCAGCTTGAGCGGGTGATCGACTTGCTTGGCCGGCGCTGCACCACGCACGGCGAGCAGCGCGTCTCAGGAAGTGTCTAGGAAGTGTCTAGGAAGTGTCTAGGCGCTGCACCACGCACGGCGAGCAGCGGCGCGCGGCCCGCACGCTGGTGCCGCTCGTCCGCCGCCTTGACGGCTCTAATTAATGAAACAACTAACTAATTAATTAAACAATTAATTAATTAATTAGGTGCCTCTCGTCCGCCGCCTTGTCGGTTCGCGCCGCTCAGCCGGCACGCCGCCTTGAATGGATTGTGAACTCTTCATGGCCGATTAAAGGCTCGCGCCGCTCCACCGGCGTGTCGACGAGCGCGACAGTGCCTTGCATCTCGTTCGGCGCGGGGCGGCGCTGCGAGCTGACCTAATCATTCACCCATCGCCACGGGGCCAGGTGATGAGTCGATTAGGCACGGGGCGGCACGCCGAGCTGACCGAGCCGATCGTCGCGTCGCTCGGCGTGGAGATGCTCCTCGCGCTCGAGTGCTTTGAATTAATTAAACACTTAATTAAACAATTAATTAGGCGTGGAGATGCTGCTCGCGCTCGAGTGCGGCAAGGCGCCGACTCCTCCTAGACACTTCCTAGACACTTCCTAGACACTTCCTGGCTCTTACTTGGCAGCGGCCTGCAGTCGACGGTTGCCTTTGATTATAACTAATCATTACAGGTGCGCGGCGCGGCCATCTTGACAAAGACGGGCCGCGGCCCTGCGCGAGGCCGCCGTTTGCCTTCGTGGTGGTGTGATTAATGAGTGAGTTTCTCATTCGTTATGATTTAGTGAGTAGGCGCCGTCGGCTTCGTGGTGCTGCAGCTGATCGCTGTCGAGGAGGCGGCGGAGCGGACCTTGAAAACTAGTTAGCACGCCTCTTTATTCAATTGCTCATTGCGCTTCACGAATGGATCGATTCTGAAGGCGGCGGAGCGGACCGGCGTCGGCAGCAAGCTGCTCGACGCGGCGTGCGCCCTCGCTGAGGAGCACGACGAGGGGGGCTGCTTGCTGGTGCCAGCGACGAGCAAGTGGTGGGCGGGCTAATGAACTAATTAACTAGTGACGAATCAACGAATGACTTAAGGTGCCAGCGACGAGCAAGTGGTGGGCGGGCGCGTCGAAGGACAAGTGGCTGCACGCGGTCGAGCAGTGCGAGGAGCTGACTCGCATGCCGCACCTCTTCCGGATGAGCGACGGGCACTAACTAATTAATTATGAATTAATTAGGAGCTGACTCGCATGCCGCACCTCTTCCGGATGAGCGACGGGCACTAACTAATTAATTATGAATTAATTAGGAGCTGACTCGCATGCCGCACCTCTTCCGGATGAGCGACGGGCGCGTGCTGCGGTGGGCGTGCGGCGCGTCGAGGTCGGGGTGGCTGCACGGAGGACCTCCCGTCCTCCCGGAGCGGCTCGGCGCCGCGGCGGGGGCGGCGGCGGGGGCGGCGAAGCGGGCGCGGCGCTGCAGCGTGTGCGTGAGCCGCGGCGTGCCCGACGCGGCGGCGGAGGTGTGCAAGGGGCGCGGCGGAGCAGCGCACTGCGAGCACTTCCAGCCGCACCCCCGCGCCTCGACGCCTTCGCAGCGAGAGGCCGGCGGTGGCTCCGCCTTCCCCCTCCCTGTGAGCAGCGCCTCTTCACTGCCGCCTCCGCCGCCGCCGCTTCCGCCGCCGCCGCGCCCGCCGCGCCCGCCGCCGCCTCTGCCGCCGCGCACCGCGCTGCGGCCATGGTGGACAGCAGCCCCGGAGAGGTACCAGCCGCCGCTCGGCGAGGCGTGCCAGTTCGCGCCCGACACTGCTTAACCACAGGTTGACAACGCAGTAACAACTAATTAACACTAATTAGGCGTGCCAGTTTGCGCCCGACACGCAGCGGCGCGGCGAGGACACGCGGGCATAGTGGCGCTGTGACCACCTTCTTCACGGCTGTGGCTGTGAACAGGCGCGGCGAGGACACGCGGATGTGGCGGTCGGTCGACGTGTACGAGGCCGCACGTGGGCAAGGGGCGGGCAAGCGGCGCAGGCTCCTCGCCCGCGGATGCCGCCGCACGAGCTGTGGACGGCGCCTTCTTCACACCGGCTGCTGTGAACAGGCTCTGTACCGCGTGGATGCCTCTCGACGGGCACCGGCCCCTCGCCCTGTCTCGCACGGCCTCGGCCGTCTCGGCTCACCTCGGCTCCTCCGTGCACCCGTAGGCAGCTCAAGCTCATCCCTCCGCCGGGTGGGCCGGGGTGTCTCATGCTGCGGGACGCCTGAATCCGCATCTCTTCGCGGTGCGATTTGTTTTTTTCGTCTCATGCGGTGTACTTGACAGGGGTGGGACAGGGGGGGGGGGGGGGGGCAGAGGGCGGCGGGCTGGGCGGGCGGCGCGGGCGTGGGTTAGTGTTACGTCGTTACGTGGCGCGGAGCCAACAGCCTCTCGAAACACAGCTCACAACCAACCAACCTGATAGGGGCGGGGCCCCCCCACGTGCCCCTGCCCCCAGCGCCCCAAAATCCACCAGTGTGGGTACGGTAAGGTAAGGTAAGGTAAGGTAAACTTCTCCACACACACGAGGTGGTGGGGCAAGGTGGGATTTCGCGCAAAAGCTTGACTCTGAAAAGCTCGCATATCCCTGCGGTGAGACGTGATGCCTCCATGCCGCCGTCGAGTCAAAATCGACATGCGAGTCGATCTTTGGCCCGCCAGAGGGATATGCGGCGTTTCGGGCGACAACAGCGCTGCGACCGCGAAGTGGCGGTGGACATGCTCCCACATTGCCGACGCGGCGCCGGAGTGGCCGGCGCTGCTCGCCGCGACCACGACGGCTACTCCGATGCTCCGGGCCGACCTGTCCTACCCGTGCGACGGTGGCACTCTTCCACGTCTCGCTCACGCTGAGAAAAATTCTGAAACGGCGTGCAGCAGAGTCGCCGACGAAACCTGGTTTGTGGAGCTCCCACACCTTACCTAGAGAGCACGGCATTCGGGGCCA